TCTGTGGCTGTCTTCCATTTTGCAGGTCAAGAAACTGAGGTCCGAGTGCCGAAATAAATTAATTCTGTCAAAGTGACTAGCGTCAAAGCTAAGACTTAAATCAAGAATCAATAAATGGGATGAATTCAAACTGAAAAACTTCTTCTCAGCAAAAGTAACAATCAGTGAAGTGAAGTGAGAGCCTACACCATGGGAGCAAATGTATACCACACGCACATCAGATAGAGCACTGATCTTTAGGGTATACCAAGAACTCAAAAATCTTAACACCAAAAAAAGAATCACCCCACCAATAAATGGGCCAAAGAAATGAACAGACACTTCTCAGAAGATGATGTACAGTCAATCAACAAATATATGAAAAAACGTTCAACCTTTCTAGCAATTAGAGAAATGCAAATGAAAACTACTCTGAGATTTCATCTCACTCCAGTCAGAATGGCAGCTATTAAGAACACAAACAACAATAAGTGTTGGTGAGGATGTAGAGAAAAAGGCACATTCATACACTGCTGGTGGGACTGCAAATTGGTGCAACCAATAAGGAAAGCAATATGGAGATTCCTTGGAAAACAGGGAATGGAACCACCAACTATCCCACTCCTTCAGTTTGTACCAAAAGGATTTAAAAATAGCATACTAGAGAAACACAGCCACTACCATATTTATAGAAGCACAATTCACAATAGCTGACCTGTGGAGATAAATTTGATGCCCTTCAGTGGATGAATGGAATAAAGAAACTGTGGTATATATACACAGTGGAATATTACTCAGCATTAAAAGAGAATAAAATCATGGCATTTGCAGGTAAATGGATGGAGTTGGAAAATATCATGCTAAGGGAAGTTAGCCAATCTCAAAATACCAAAGGCAGAATGTTTTCTCTGATATATGGTTGCTGATCCATAATGGGGGTGGGGTGAACATGGGAGGAATGGAGGAACTTTAGATAGGGCAAAGGGGAGGGAGGGGAAGAGAAGGGGCCTAGGGGTAGGAAAGATGGTGAAATTAGATGGACATCATAACCCTAAGTACATGTATGAAGACACAAATGATGTGACTACTCTGTGCGCAACCAGAGACATGAAAGATTGTGCTCTATATGTGTACTATGAATTGAAATGCATTTTGCTGTCATGTATAACAAATTAAAATAAATAAATAAATTTAAAATTAAAAAAAAAAAAAGCTAAGACTTGAGCTCCGATCTGCCTGTCAAAAAATGCCACAACTCTGGGCAAGTCACTATCCAGAAGGCGGCACAGAGGTGGGCTTTTGGGCAGTGGGTCAGGGAGAGATTTAGATGGATGAACAATATGATCACAGGCCTGAAAGATAGTAGTTTTAATCAGTGAACAATGACTAGCTAAGATGGAGTTCACAAGAAGAGAGAACGCAAGAGAAGCTGAAAGTGGCATTGAAAACACTCCATACCAGTGTCTTATTTTACAGATGGGAGACTAAGGAAATGAGAGGGAAGACCATCCAATATCCACAGCAGGATGGAGCAAGGACCAATTCTAATGCCCAAGGATGGGGCTTGTGTGAGTGTTGCAAGATGTGCTGCCAGAGGCCAGGTGCTGGCAGGCAAGAGCTGTGACCCGTGAATTCCAGCTCCTCTTGTGACCTTAAGGCAAGCCTGGGAATACTTGAGTCAGAGGCCAAAACGAAGCTCAATATACCACCCTGCTTCTTCAAAGTTGCAGAAGACAAGTAAGTTTATATCCCTACCGATAGGATATGGATATGAAATGAATTATGAATGTCAAAGTATGACTTGAAAAGGAAGGAAAAAAAATTGTCATTGAGAAGGACCCAGCTTGGAAGCTCAGTACTCACAGAATCTAAGCGCTACTCACTAACGTCCTCTGTGCCACCGTATTTCATTCTCCATTTCTGATCAGAGGAGAAGAAACTGTGGTATGCATACACAATGGAATATTACAGAGCACAGAGAAGAGGACCGGGCACCCAAGTCACCCTACCCAGTTGGAGCATCTGCTGTGCGTTGGGCTCTCTGCGTGCCCTGTCACTGATCCCAGAACACAGGCCAAATCATACCATTTTATTCATGAGTTACTGAGTCTCAGAGGGACCAAATCACCACTGAAGTTCACTCAGCTAGAGAAAACAGGAGCCAAGGATGTCCACTCCTGGAGGAGAGTAAGTATGGGAAGGGCACCCTTCTTCCAGACCCAGTGGAGTCCCCTTAGCCTGGCTGACTCCACCAGGTCTCTGGGCCAACGTCAAGATGCCTTCTGTTTAGCCCTCATGGCTAAAACCAGGCCATTGGTGGTCAGCGTCCACAGATGCAGATAAAGTTGCTGTAATAGCAATCAAAGGGCCCAGATTCCTCGAGGTGTCAGGGATGTCTTTTTGATACAGACTCCAGGAGATGATCATAGAAGCCTTAACGACCTGGGCGAGGCCCTTTTCATCTTCCCATCACACTCTTCTCGGGATGAAATGGGCCGCTGGGAAGGTTGGTGACTGTGTTCTCAACTCCAAAGGTTCCCGAAAGATAACCCCACGCCTTATGCAAAGTTATGACAGGAAGCCCCACCGGGCTCCCGTGATAAGCTCTCCAAGCACATTGCCAGGGCCTGACAGTTGTTTGGCAAAGGGGTGGTGTCCACAATTTCAAGTGTGACTTTGGACCAAAGAGTTATAACAGACATATAGGACTTATAGGACTTAGGCCCAGGAACAGTGCTGTATTTAGGGCCCTGCTGAGATTGCTTCAAGACGGAAATCAATGCTGCTAAACCCCTGCTTGGTGACAGGTGACAACTCCGGACACATCAAAGGCAGAAGAGAGACATGCTGGATCGGTTGCAGTTTTGTTTTCGGTCAAGAGAATTTTAACACTGTAACTACTTTTAGCACTAGCACCCAACTTCTCCTGAACTTTGTCCCCAGTCCTGAATAAGCTCCATAATCAATGACTTCCTACCACTCCCCAGTATCTGGCCATGTCTCTAACCATCTCAGAAAAGCACTGGCAGACACACGCCAGAGCAGCCTGTGGAATCCTAGGGCATCCCATTTGGAGAAGAGAAGAGGTTGTGCTGGACCTTCGCCCCAGAAATACAAGGAAGGCTCTGGCATTGTGGGAATCTGCCCAGGCCATCCCTGCAAGGCTGTCCAAGCTGATCTCTAGCCCCTAGTTCTGTGTTCCAGAAACTCTAAACTTCCAGGCGTTTCCACATTCTCACAGCACGATGGATGGTTCCTGTTCTTAGGACATGCTGTCCTCTGGCCAGAATTTGTCTCTCCTCATGCCAAACTTCTGCTCCCCCTCAAGCTTGGTTCAGTCGTCATCTCTAGGTCAGCCTTTCCTGAGCCTCCACGGTGAGCCGCTGCCACTCTCCTGTGCTCTCCCAGCACCTCCCGTCCTCCACTGTTTGTCCAGCTGTCTTCGCCACCAGCCACCAGCCACCAACCACCAGTCACGTCCTGTGAGAGGCAGAGATGCTGCCTTCAACATCTGCAGCTGCAGAACCACGAGAGGGTTCGATGCTTGTTGACATCACCAAACACAGGGAAGAAGTGAATTGGAACAACAGCCCAGACCAGGGCAGCCCCTTCTAGGAATCTCTTCAGTCATGTGTTCAAGTACATGTTTTATGTGAACCTGCTCGTGTCTGCACAGGAGAAATGGCAGGGAGCAGGGCAGGCCTTCCCCCTCCCCTCTGGAGCATATCAGCACAATATCAAATAAGGAAGAGCGCAATTAACCTTTTTAAAATAGATTTTAAATTCCATTTTAAATATTTTTTAAGATTTAATCAGCAAAAAATAATTGCACGTTTCATATATCTATGGGATCCTATGCAATGTTTTGATGTATATGCACATTGTGGGACAATTAAATCAAACCAACAAGTCCATCACCTCGCATATCTTTTTGTTGTTAAAATATTTCCAATCTACTCTGTTAGTAATTTTGAAACGTTCAGTGTTCCACTGTCCTCTGCAGCCCATCCGCAACAATACCCACAGGCATTTCAGCAACACTCACAAGAGACACGATCAACCTGAGACGATCAACAAATGAATGGATAAAGGACAATGGTACATGTACATCATGCAAAATACTATACAGCCTTAGAAAGAGGGAGATCCTGTCCCTTGAAACAACGTGGATGGACCTGGAAAATATTACGTTAAATGAAATAAGCCAGGCACAGAAAGACAAGCACCCCACGATCTCTTTTACGTGTGGAATCTAAAACGGTCAAACTCATAGAAATACAAAGTAGAACGGATGGAAAAATGGGAGAAGTTGACCAGAGGGTACAACCATTTCATTGTTTTTGGGATAAGTGCTGCCAAAGGACGAGACCAGGATTAGTGGGAGACAAATGAAACAAACGTCTCGGGTGCAAAATGGGGTGGTGAAAAGATAAACAGTTTAAGGCAATCTTCTTAGAAACCAAATTCAAAAGCCAGGTGCTGTGGTGCACACCTATAATCCCAGCTGCCTGGAAAACCGAGGCAGGAGGATCACAAGTTCAAGGCCAACCTGGGGCAACTTAGTGAGACCCTGTCTCCGAATAAAAAAATCAAATCAAAAGGGCTGGGGGAACAGTTCAGTGGCAGAACACATCTGGGTTTAATCCCCAGTAGGAAGGAAGGAAAGAAGGAAGGAAGGAAGGAAGGGAAAGGAGAGAAGAAGGGAGGGTGGGAGAGAGAAGGAGAAAGAAAGGAAGGAAAACATAAAAATTAAGGCAGAAACATTCATGTTGAACCAACTGCAAAATATAAACAAAGCTCATGTCACGCCGACCTATGCTACAGCGAAGACACAAGGAAAATGTGCACCCTGTCAACGAGCTTTTGCATATTTGAATGGCTGTTTTTTCCCAAAACATTAAAGCAGTTCAAAAATATTAGAAAGGTAAGAATATTAAAACAGCATGACTTTATGTTTAAATATTTCATTTGCTTCAAAACAGTATTCATTATAATTTTACTTCGACTCAGTTAATCTTAAAATGCTTTACGATGGCCACTGGCTCATGGGGAGTCGTCGCACGTGGTGGCCCTCTCCAGTGACAATCAGACAAGCCAAGTAGGTCAGACTGAAAACATTCCTGAGCGTCTGTGTCTAGCAGTGCCAGGAGTGCATGCGTTCCCTCTTGCTTCACACACACACTTTGCTCAGCGCAGCACAGGCCTTGAAAATCTGCCATTTTGTTCATCCTGGACTTTTTGCATTATTTTTTGATATTTTTAAGTGTTGCATTAGAATTTTACTTATCTTGAATACTGAGGAGTTTAGGGGGCAGCCACTAAAATTTTGCACCCAAAGTGAGTCCCTCCCTTGCCTCACCCTCAGCCCAGCCTGGTCAAATGAGAGTGGAGAAGGCCAGTCCTAGGCTGGGGGCTAGAGGAGACCTCGAGCATGTGGCAGTGATGCTGATAGCTGCAGGGACAGTGGGGTCGTGACACTGGCAGAGGGCACTGCCCAGAGGTGAGTCCTGGGTGGCAGAAGCACTTGTGAAAGAAAGACGATGACAATGGCCACCCATATATCATGACTCATACTCAGAGCCCCTTGAGGCCCAGCAGAATTAGGTAGGCATCTCATCCTCCCTGCAAAACTGGGGCTAGAATATTTTTTAATCTTCATTTTATAGGACACAAAAAAGGTGAAGTGACTTGTTCCAACTCCCACAGACACGAAGAAGTTGAGCTAGAGTGTGAAGTCAGCCAGGCTCGTGCCCAGCGCATTCTGGAGACTTCTGCTTCCTCACTCAGACAGAAGTCACTTTGGCTAGAGTGGAAGGAGCCACCCGGAGGCTGCCATGATGGGAGGAAAGGAACTCCAACCTTGCCAAGGTCCCAGTTGAACTGTAGGAGAAGCAGCTGGTGCCATTGACATCTTGTCCATTCGCCTCTTTGCCCCCACTCCCGTCTTGTACAGGTGTCTTGTGCCTCCGTCTTTGAAATCTGGAAGCATTCTGCTCATGGGGTCCCTGTAAAGAAGCAGGTCAAGGACATTTTATTGCAGTTGACTTTATACTTCAACTGAGGAATAAATCAACCAAGCCAGAATAACTGTCTACAGCCTGGTTTTGTTCAACGCTGCCCAGACAGCAGGGAGCCACAGGACTGACCCTAAGCGAAACCTCAGCCTCTTCAGCCACTGGCCACACTCTGCACACCCTGATTGTAGGTGTCGATGGAGAGACACAGGTAAGCACATAGATTCTGACATCAGACTGCCTATGTCTTGACTTTGTGACCTTGGGTGAGTTGCCTAAAACCCAAAACCTCAATGCTCTTGCCTTTAATATGGGTATCTTCTGGAGACTGCCTTAACTGGTCACAAAGCTCATTTTCCTCTTCTCCTGCCATACAGCCAGTTGACCTTTGCTAGACAAGCTCCCCCTGTGAGTAGTTGTAGCTGGGACTCGGTGCTGGCCAGCACAATGTGGGGAGAAGCAGTGGGTATCCCTTCCCAGTCTGGCCCATGCGACCTCCTCCTCTGACCTCTGCTCTCCCTCTCCTAGTCTTGGGAAGATGTGAGCCCCCAGTGACTTCGGAAGCCATGCAGTGTGCATACACAGCATCCACCTGTGGGGCACTGGCGCCTGAAGAAGTATGGGAGCCACGTACCCCGTGTTAGACCAGGTTCCCTTCAAGCAGAGCCTGCACCTAGGACTGGAGTGGATGCAAGTCACTGATGAAGGAGAAGGGGAGTGTGAACAGCAGGAAGGGACAAGGACAGACACTAGATAGATGAAGTCTCAGCACAGACCACATAGCTGTGTCCCAGGGGACTGGGGAGGGTGGCCTCTGTGTTGTCAGGCACTCACTGGTGAAGGCTACCACTACCCAGGAGGTGGCAGGTGTCACCTCCTAGGCAAGGCATCACCCCTTCCCCACCATCCTGCAGAGATAAACCTCCTGGAAAGGGGAGCACCTGTGAGCCATCCAGAGCTAATACTGAGCACAGCTGGGGCCTGGGTGCAAGGTGGGGGTCCCTTTCCCTCTCCCACCTCCTGCCTGGGAATTCCTTATTTAATTTTTATTTATTTAATGCCAGCTATAAATGAACTTCTACCTTGTAAAGCCACTGTGATTTCTAAGATTCTATGCATCACAGCAATAAACATAAAAAAAATAATATCTACCTCATGGAGTTATGTGATAATTGATTGAGATGCTGCATTGAAGTTTCTGAGCACATGCACATGTTTGATGACCCTTTGCCCCTATTAGGAATAATGAACCTGGGCAGGCACTTATGATATAGAAATACCCACACTGCAATGCTCTGGAGGCCTGTGGTCTTGCAGACAGATGATAGATCAAAAGAGATGCTTACAGAAAGACGATTCAGGCCATGTCTGCATTGTGGGCAGCGCAGCTCAAACCTGGAGCTACCTGGGGACAGAATAACATGCTCTAAGGCAGAAGTGCAACTTGAGGTGGCCTGTCAGGAATGAGCAGGTACTCTCAGGCATAGGGGACATGCACTTACGGTGATGTCTGGGGCCATTCCTCTGGGCCCCATAGCTCCTTCTATTCACACAAGTATTGTCTTTGCCTATTGTATTGGTGTCCTCCAGCATCTGATGTCCCACCTGCCATTTGGCAGTATGATCAGGAACTGTCATAGCACCTCTTGAGCCTGGGGGTCTGTAGTCAAGAAAGAGATAATAACACCTTCTCTCAGGCTTGGAATCAGAGAACAATCCAGGATGGGGCAACACATAGTAGGGGCCTGGTAGTGTTAACCACCCCTCCTTTTCTGCATTCTTCTCCAACTCCATTCTGCCCTCAGGGCTCCCTGCTCCAAATCATCAACTTCAGGAGCCTAGGTGGGATCAAAAGTTCCACCTCCTGTCCTCCTGAAATCGCATTCACTCTCCAGGCATCTGTCCCAAACTAGAGCCTGAGCTGCTTGCCACGGTCCAGCTGGTCTTCGCCAGCATCCCTTCTGTCCCGCCCCAGTCCCTGTTCACAGCCAAGACCTCTCCTCCTCTCCTCCCTCCCTTTGGGAGCCCCATTAGCTAGAAAAAGTTGGAGGAAGCATTTTCGTGTCAGATACAAAGTGTGTTCCAGTGCTCTCATGGACTTATTTTTAGCCGTCCCCCCAGGCTCCTGCACGCCTCTCCTGAGGTCTTTGGCTGCAGTCCTTGTCAACAGGAGCAGGGACGTGCCTGGATACAAATAAGATACACACTCTGTCCTTTTTACATAAATATTTGCAGCTCCCACCCAGCAAATCCAACAGTGCAGCCTTCTCTCTCCTTGAACCTGTTTCTGCTTCTCCACCTCCCAGCTCCTTTCTTTCTCTACTTTTGACTCACTGCCAGGAACAATCATTTCTATTTCCTCATAAAGCAACAGGGAGAAGCTCCCCTCTCCAAATACAGAGACACTGGAGCGGGAGGGGCTGGGGGACCATATTAGGCAATCAGCTCAGCTACTTTCTTATGGGACCAGAAAAAAACTAAGAGGGGAGGAGGGGACACACACACACACACACACACACACACACACCCCACAGGAAAGAAGGTTTAAGACTAAGAACCCAAGGGTTGGGTCATTTAAGTCCCTTCAACTCCAGTAGGATAGCTGAGAACAGACATCACTGAAATACAATATACAATAGCCACAGCTCTGCTGTTCCCCAGGATGCATGAGGATCAGTCGGAATGGGGCTGTAGGTCAGCTGGCTCAAGGGGCCATGCCAGACTTCAGTTCAGAACCCAGAGGATCTCATCTCCATCCAATCACAATGGCAATTATCAAGAATACAAATAATAATAAATGTTGGCAAGAATGTGGGGGAAAAGATACGCTCATACATTGTTGATGGGACTGCAAATTAGAAAAAAAAAACACTCTGAAAAGCAGTATGGAGATTCTTTAAAGACTAGGAATGGAACCACCATACAACCCAGGTATCCCACTCCTTGGTATTTATTCAAAAGAACTAAAATCAGCACCCTAAAGGGATCTAAGCACATCAATGTTTATAGCAGCACAACTCACAATATCCAGGTTATGGAACCAGCTCAGGTGCCTGTCAAATGAATAAGATTAAGAAAATTAAGTGTGTATCTGTATTATATATGTACACACATACACACACACACACACACACACAACAATGGAGTTTTACTCAGCCTTAAAGAGAAACAAAATTATGGCATTTGCTGGCAAATGGATGGCACTGGAGAACATCATGCTAAGTGAAGTAAGCCAGACTCCAAAACATGTTGAGTGTTGAATGTTCTCTGTGTATGTGAGACCTAGAGCAAAATAAGAGGGAAGAGGAGGACGACTGTCATAAAAACAGAGGGAAGATCAGAGTAGCAGAAGGAGACTGCAGGGGAGGGAGGAGGAATGGGACACAGGAGGAAATGAAGAATGGATTCAACAGAATACAGCACCGTGGATCCCATCTTTATGTCTATCTGTAGAGCAAAGTTTAAAATATATAAATGATGAAAGGTAGACCGGTAGAGTAGGAAAAAAAAAAAAAGAAAGGAATGGGAGAGGCAGGAGGGAAGGGAAAGTAGGAGACACTTGGGAATAAAATGGAGTAAAATAAGTTACATCCTTATATCGTGTATGATTATGGCAAAATGAGCCTAGCTATTATGAACAACTATAATGCACCAACAGAAGAAAAAAAACTCACTCCGAGCCTGTTTCCACATCTGCACGGCTATTGATGCCTTCCTTGTAGAGCTTCTTGGGCATTCCCTGAGGGACCCTGGGAATCACACGTCCCTGAGCCTTCCCAGCACACCGTCAGCACTCACCAAGAGGCCATTGTTATTATCATTTTTCACAGTCATCTGCGCAACAGCCTGTGCACCCTGCCCAAGAAATGGAAACTCCTGGAGGTGTAACTGGTTTCTGGCTTCCGTTCAGCCCCAGTACCCAGCACTGCAGCACCCACTGGATGCTGATTAAGAGGAAAAGCTGTCTTCTACCAACCCTATCTCATAGATCAGCACAGTCTATCGCTGAGGAATAAGGTGACCGACCCCAGCTAATCTGCCTCCAGCCATGATTATTCTGAGCCACCTCATTTACAAAAATGATTGGCAAAGACAGGCAACATTGTCACAGGTGCTGGTCTAAAGACTGAAGAGGGCTGAGTGTGTTCACACTACACAAGAGGAGCCAGCAGGCACCCTCCTGTCATGCAGAGATGCCCTGTGCACCAGCCCTAACTCAGAGTTTCTTGGATGAAAGTTCATTCACTCATTCACTTTTCTTTTTTTTTTCAGATCAAACTCAGGGGTTCGTGCATTTCAGGCAGCACCTCTATCACCCAGCTGTACCCTCAGCCTATGCTCACTCATTCATTCACCAGGGATTGGTTGCAAACTTTGGCACAGAGGAGAGAAAATGCAGTAAGATACAGGCTCTACCCTCATGAAGTTGGCACTCCACCACCAGACCGCCCTCTACATAAATGATCCAGGTATAGTGTACTGGTTATAAAAGCAACTTTCCCAAGAGCCAAATAAGAAATGGTGGAGTGAGAGCTCATTACTATGGCATGGCATGAAGGGAGCTACTTGCAGAAGAAAAAGGCTAGAGTTGGGTGGAACGTCACTGGGTGAACCAGAGGGAAAGGCGGGCATTCCCTGCAGAGGAGGAGGTCAGGACCGGAGGCCTCACTGAGCAGGAAACATTAAGAAGACCCCAAGCAACTATGGAGGGCAGACACCTAGGAAGAGTTAGGGGCAAGCACACAATGGGGCAAGGGGAATCAGGTTGAGCCAGCTTCGTGGGCAGCCCTTTATCCTCCAGGTGCAAACCTTAGGAGAAGTTTAGGTGGAAAAGTCATGTGGCCAGATTTGTATCTCGGCAGCAAGGTGAGCATTTCTGACCCCCACACGGACTCCTTAGACCCCTCCTGCAGCTGCGCTCCACTTCCACTCTCTTGCTCTGGCCCTTGCATTCTGGGACTGAGCAGGAGCTTGATTCTCCTCCCACCTCCCTGACTCTCTCTGCTTTCTCCCAAACCTCCAAAAGGGCTTTTTATATGTGATAGACAGAGCCCCACAATGCTGATAATTTGGCTGAATGTTATTGCCAACATCCTAAAGCCTTTGCTGAAGACCAGTTTTGTGGCCAGACAGTATAGCTAAATCCTGTTTCAGGTTAAGATGGCCACAGACACAACAAGGTGTGGAACACAGACGTAAAGAGTAGCAGGCTTACTCACTATTTTGCACATCAGATGGATGCTTAGCTGTCTTCAGCGGGTGTTTCCTAGCAGCCTATCCACACCCAGCACTGGACTAGGTGCTGCAGAATATGCAAGGCCAGCTTTCCATCCTGAACTTCTCCTCCAGGTACCTGCATCCCAGTGAAACTGCAGAGAAACAATAAGGCACTGTCGCTAAGAGCACAGGCTTAGAGCTTAACAAAGAAGTCCGTGCCTTGTTACCTACCAATGTGACCTCGGGGGAATTAATTCAATTCACCTATTTGGTCTCAGTTTCTTCACCTGTAAAACAGGAAATATATCTCTCATAAACTGATGGCAATGATGCAATTCAATAAAATCTGAAAGCAGAATGTGCAACATATTGTAAGGAATCACTTCATGTAGTTAAAAAAAAATTCAGCCACTGTGGATAAAAATGTAGCACCTCTTCAAAAAACTGAATGTAGAATTACAAGGTGACAAGTGACCCAGCAATTCCACTCCTAGGTATATGTCCAAGAAAAGCAAAAACACATGCACACAAAACCCTGGACATGAATGTTCAGAGCAGCCCTACTCACAATAGCCAAAGGGTGACCCAATGCCCATTAGTGGCCACATGAAGAACATCACCCTAAAAAGGAATGAAGTCGAGGTACATGGATGAACCTCAACATGGCACTGAGTGGAAAGAGTCAGGCACCAAGAACTACGTGCTGTGTGGTCCATCTGTATAGAATGTCCAAAATAGTCAAGTCCATAGTGAAGAACAGACTGGGAGACACCCAAAGAAGGTAGAAGGTAGAGAAAGAAAATAGGATCCACCACTTAATGATGCAGGCTTTCCTTTGGGGGTGATGAAAAAGTTGTAGATAGAGTTGTGGGTTGCACAATACTGTGAATACATTAAGTGCCACTGAATTATTCACTTTAAAATAGTTTTATGTAATATGATTTTAATTTCCATTTTAATATCGATTTTGACCTTCAAGCCTTGCTTTTCCTGGTTGTGAATCAGTCATGGTCATCAGACTGGATTAAAATTAGCTCTAGAAACCACAGTGCCAGGTCAGAGTCCTGGGCACCCTTACAGTCCCCAGGTTCCAGGAGAAATAGAGTGGACAGCCCCTTCCTTCGTAGAGATCAAAGACTGTCAGGAGCATTCCTAAGCTCTGGAGCCAGGTCCGTGTACTATGCCCATAATTTGCAAACTCAAATTCAAAACTCTTAAGAGTTCCTACCTCTGTCCTTCTCATCAATGAAATGGATACAATGGCACCAACCTCAGAGTTGTGATAAGGATTCAAGAGGGATGAATTCGTTTCCCTAAAGCAAATTACCTCCAAATGGGTGGCTTAGAACAACAGGAAATTATTCTCACAGGTAGGGTGCCGAAATTCTCAACGCATGGTACTGGCAGGGCCATGCCTCCTCCACAAGCTCTGGGGCAGAAGCCTTCCTCTTCTTCCAGGTTCTGGAGTCCAGATGCTCCTTGGCTGGAAGCTTCCAAGCCCATCTTCGCGTGGCCTTCCCCACAATCTCTGCTCGCATCTCCCTCCACCTTTTTCTTATAAGCATCTTTGTCATTGGACCTAAGACCCATCAGACATCCAGTTCGATCTCAAGATCTTTATCTTAATTACGTGCAAAAGCCCCTTTTTAAGGTCACATCACAATCACAGGTTCCAGAAATTAGAACATGAACATGTCTTTTAGGGACAACTATTTAACCCACTAGAGGGGATAACCCAGGTAACGTGACCTTTGGCAATTCATAAACGAAGGCATGTGGTTATCACCATCATTATTATCACTATCATTGTCATTACATACTCTATATCCAAGTCTCTCTCTAGTGCAGAGCCCAGCTGATACTTTCAGTTTGCTGAGACTCCTTCTAAACTACCTTTTACCTCCTTTCTTAGGAGGCTGAGCTTCTTCTGTTAGTGCCCCCCCCCTCAATCCCTCGACCCTGTCCCTAACTGGATTCAACCTGGTATTGGGAAGTTTTTCTTTAGACCTGGGGTCCCAGTTCTACTTTATCTCTTGAACCTCTTATCTGAGACTATCCAGGTGCTCTTATATAGTTGGACCTCTTCAACTCCCTCCTTGAATTTCCAAAAAAAAAAAATGCTTAAATCCAGTTGCAGAAACCAAACTGTACCTTCTACAAATGGTTCCTCAGTGCTAGAAAAGCGTTAATTGTTTAGTTTAGATTCTTTAACATGTGTTCACTAGATTAGGGGCAATTCCGGAACTCCACTCCCAGATGATTCAAATAGGGCGAGGGAGGCTGTGGAGTTGATTTGGCTATGGCTTTGGGCCACTTGATGGTAATTTGGCTAGGTTAACACAGGCTGCAGCACACAGGGATCTGGCCCCGTGACAGCCTGCGAAAGCTGGGCCATGCGGAAGTTCTGGTGCTGAGCTCCTTGGCCAAATCATCCCCGTTTCCCTGCCAAGGGAGAGAACTGGGAGGCTCTGCTCCAAGCTGCTTGATGTTCCTGAGAAAACCCACACCCTGCTCCTGACCATCCAGTGCTTTCTCTGTTTTGTCCCTGTGAAATAGGAGGCAGACTCCTCTGTGACACCAGAAGCCAGGACCCGCACGCAGGACTGGAGAGCAAAGAACTGAGTCTACTAATGGTCCCCGCACTGTCTCTCTGCATTTCACCCCCTAGGAATCTTGCTGCCCAAAGTCAAATGTAAAGTCTTTCCTCTCGATCTTCAATCATTCTGCCCTTCATTTGGCAGCTTGCAAATGACCCCATTGCAATCCTCCCCATGATACAGTAAAAGCAGAGGCATCTCCTGCCCATCTCTTCTGCGCGATGTTTTCCCCTTGCCTG